GTCAGCTGTTGTGGGCCAGCGGTTGTGGAGTGGAGCGCCAAAGTGCGGGCTCGGCCGCGCCATCCACCCGCGTCCTCCCCCGCCTCCGGTCTTCTTGACTCTGTCTTGACACCGGGTTGGGGTAGGAGAGGAGGATAGAGTGCGGTAGATGCTGCCCAAATCACTGTGCCTGCTTAAAGTTGCGGTGGAGCACACGGTGGACATCGTCGGTTGCGACAGTCGAACCGTCAAACTGACAAAGCTCAAATAGTACGTATGTGAGATGGTATGCAGAGGTGATTGTCTAATTGTGAAAACGAAATGAACAACGAAGCGAGGTTACCGCTCAAAATTATACAGACGTCAGGTTAGTTAGTCTAAGCGGCTGTCTTTGTTTCCAAACTTCTGCTGTTCTATATAGGACACTGTGAAGGAAATGTTTTTGAAGCGTTGACCGACACGGGAGGCGGATAGGAGTGGATACGCACCAGTCGCAAAAAAACGGAGTCCCATGACCAACAATTGTAGTACGTGCGGTAGAGTGAGCATAGAACTTCAAGCATCTGATTGGGCGCGCAGCCGTTGCCAGACCACAACTTTTTTTGCATTCATGTCTCTGCCGCCGTCGATTGTGACTAACGGTGTGCAAAATTGCAGTCTCGTTGATTCGCCTTCAGGCCCTCTGGCCTATGCCAATTGTCTGTGTGTTCTCGTCCCTAAAAGCTCACCGGTTTGGTAACGAGCTACTGCACGGTGTCCCTATACATGGACCCAAGATCTACCTATGGTGTCCGTATGGCAGTCTTCAGGGCGGATGGCTTGAGACTGAACGCACGTCGAGCAGAGGAAATGATTTCGGAGCATGACTCCAGGATGGATATCATCCTCATTTATCTCTAACTTCACCGTCAGTGTGTGCTCTATTGAATCTCTAGTCTACAGTCTCCAAACCGCAAATTTCAGGCGAGGTTTTCGGAAGACGTAGAAAAGATGCGTTTGTGAGTTTGTGGTGTTACTAAGAAGAGATCGGATGCCACGTTTGAGCGCGTGCTGCGACAGTTTCATAACACAGCCAGTGTGAGTACTCCGAGCCACAGCTAACACGTAGGTCATAACTTGGAGTGGTTAAAGCACTTTTGCCGGGGATCCGTGGAAACTGAGTGCGTACGCAGCAAGGATGTATTTTCCCAGGACAAAACGCGAAATGCCCACCCGCATCACCTGACGAGGTATCTTGGCGTATGGCGGCTGCCCAAATTAGTGAACGCCAACAGCTCCTAGAAATTATCTATGGGGACGCCGTTGTTATAATGAACATAGCCCTGTCGGACGCTGGAGGAGACAGTGGAGAAATCCCGCTCGCCATGCAGCAGCGAAACCAATGAGTGATGATACCTATGGGTATAAATAAGGACAGATATGACAAATCGGCCAACCAAAGAGGCCACAAGTACAGCGGTACTGCATGGCGAATGTCGCGCAAGGTCTTGCAACGCTCCCTACACCAACTTCGTCATTCAGCCGCGACACCACTGGCTGTAGGTCATCAAAAGCCGAGGCTAGCAGAGCGATATCGTCGACGTAGTCGGGATTAGTCTAGAGGCGCCCGGATGCTAATCAAACCGCGTTGGACATTCTCGGGAATCCTGTCAACGGTGCAGTTGAGCAGAATGCGTGACAGGATACAAGCTTGTTGAACGCCGGCCTGAAAATCGAACGGTTGTGAGATTGCTGACAGTAGTGAGGCGATAGTAGGCCCTGATCATGACGATTATTACCGCCGGTTGCAGTTATCTGTCACAGAGACACATGAACGGGAACAGATAGACTCGTCAGTGGATATTAGTAGCTTATCCTCGGTCTATGCAGCATTACGAATCTCCACACAGGCCTAATCGCTGAAGTATTTCTTCAACGGGTAGAACATTTGGTGTTCACCAAGTATCAACCAAAGTTCTGGGCCCGCTATGTCGATGACACCTTCGTCATTGTCAAAACAACTGACATTGAACACCTAAAGAAACTACTGAACTCGGTTGACCCGGATATTCAATTTACGATGGAAGCAGAAACAAACAACCAACTGCCTTTCCTTTACGTAATTGTGCGCCGGTGTACCACTGGACAGCTGCAAACTACAGTATTCCGAAAATCCACCGACACGAGACAGATCCTACACTTCAACAGCAGCCATCCTCTGTCTCGCAAACGTAGTTGTGTCCGCACTCTATTCCAAAGAGTCGAAACACACTGCAGCACACCAGAAGATAAAAGGGTCGAACGATTGTACCTTGTGAACCTATTTGCAGCCAATGGTTATCCCAGGCATTTCATCGAACGAAGCAGACGTTGGGCGCCCAGAAAACGGCCAAATGAGCAGCAACCCGAAGTCTGGAGGGCCATTTCTTACGTTAAAGGGGTCTCTGAAGCGGTCCGGCGACTGTTACAACCCACCAGAGTAGGCATAGCCCATCGACCACAAGCAACAATCGACGTCGCCTAATGCAACCTAAGGACCCATTGCCACCCGCTGAAACCTCAGCAGTCATCTACAAAATAAATTGCAATGAGGGCGACTGCAACTATGTGGGCGAAACCGGGCGGAAGTTGCAAACTCGCCTACAAGAAAACAAATCGGCCACTCGGAGGTTAGACCCTAACTCTCAACTAGCAACACACGTTGGAGAAACGGGGCATACTTTTGACCTCCAGAGGGCTACCATCTTAGGCCGAGGCAACACAAAAACAGAACGGCTAACTCTCGAGGCGTGGTTCTCCGATGCCCACTCTATCAACAGGCATCTGGACCTTCCTGTAGCTTACAAAGTCCTACGTCATCACAATCGTAGAGTTCAGGACCAAACAACCACACCGGACTTAAGAAGGCCATACGGAGATAGCCCGACGCTGAGTTTACTCGGTGAGGAAGAAGAACCGCCAGGCCAACCGTCCGACTAAAGTCCAATCAGCTCCCCTCGACGGAGTGGTGACTCACAAAGCACACAGGCAAAACGCCCGTCAACCATCTCCCGAGAGGTCGAGGCAGCGAGAGGAGGAAAAAATCGATCAGCATGAGGCCGGCCAACACAACTGCCACTTTAAATTAAATTTTTGATCGATTAAGTGCAGTTTACGCTTTAACAATGAAGAGCCGACCCAGCTCTTCGAAACGTCAGCACTTAAATAAACCTCTTCCGAGGAGCCTGTCTTCGTCTTCAAAAATCTCCACACAGTTCCTTTAATCATAAGGACGGCGTAAATGAAGCGTTCTCCCGGCGCGGTAGTGAATGGGCGACGGAATACATTCCACAATCGAAGGCGTGTGACTGTTATCTTAACTGCTGGTCACTCGACGTGTTCACGAATGGTGGATATATAAGTGGTTTTCAGTGAGGGCTAGTCGTGAAATTGTCGGACTTGCTCGTTTGAGGAAGAAGCAGCGGTGGAATAGGTGATGGTCCGATCAGGCCATAGAAGGCTGGAAAGCGATCGTTTCGAGATTCGTTTGAGGCGCTGTAAAATTGAGACCACGACCCGGTGTTAGGGGGGAGGGGGGTTATCAATTCTCACTGCCTCGCGGCTAGGCTTTTGAGTGAAAATGCTGGAAACAACCTGGTGGTATTTCGAGATCCGAAAGCACTCGAAATTCCCAAGAAACTCTATAGACAAAATGCCCGTTACCTGATACGATTCCCCCAAGAAGTGGGTCGACTCCAAATGGAATAGGACATTCATCGCGAGGATAGCCTAAGCTATCCAAGATAGCCGACTGAAGAGGCGTGGGTCAAACACTGTTGTCTGTCTCTAAGCACAACGCTACTGCAAGTTATCTGACATCGATGGCTAACTGGGACCAACGAAGAGGTCGGATCAAAGCCTGGTTTGACAGCTCACCGAGGCCTGCAGGTGATTTCTGGACTCTAAATATTCGTCGCTGTGGAAGAGAACGAAACGAGTTCTCTGGGTTAATCGCCGCAAATCGTCATGCACGTAAAGGGGTGTGTGACCATGCGCTGATTTTTCAGGAATATTGAGGACCCATAAGAAGGAAGTGCTTTCTTGATAGGATGGATTGTCGATCTATATTTGGCTTCTCTATACAAGGCAAAACGGACCTATGGAGATTAGCATGACATTCCTTTTTCAAAACCACCCTCGGACAAGTATATGCATTTCAAAACGTTAGCTACATACACAGAGGAAAGCTAAACAGGTATTCAATTAAGCTCTACTCACAAGAGGTACAGGAGGCTCCAACTACCGAGTAGGTATGATGGATTAAAAATAAGCATTCTTGTCACGGCATGGCATGCTTTAGCGGACCCATTCGTCTTTATTGAGCAAAGGCAGTAGTAAGCAACAATTTTCAGCGGAACTGGGAGATCCCACAGCCATTGTTAAAAGCGCATGGTGGGCTCGGTGGTGCATTTCCAGACCACAGAGCTCCAAAGCCTCAGAGCATTCTTTCTTAACCCTCGTGAATTAACCGTAAAATACTACAACTTAAGGCTGTTAAGTTAAAATACTGAAGGACAAAGGCGCCATTTAGCGAGATGCATTTTGACACCAAAGTAGTGAAATGGCTACCAGTGGTTAGGTGTCAAATACATCTGTTCTTTTCATATGATAAAAGGAAGAATTAAAATCATGCAGCACTAGCGCGAGGACGCATTGGTGGCATCGAATTGAATTTCAATGCCCGTTTCAGTGATGAGCTAGGCATAGATTCAAAATTCAAGTAGATCAATATTTCTTACGCGAGATAAAGAAGAGGCAAAGGAAATGAGCACTAATAACGTTCATGCGTATTCTTCATATACCAAAGGACAAGCCAAGAATGAAGAGTTGATCGGAAATAATCGCTGAATCGTAGAAACAGCTTACAGAATAGTTCGGATGGAAAGTGGGGTCATGCGTTTGTACAACTGGATATAATCACTGAGAAATTCGGCAAACGCGGAAGGGACAAACAGATCACAGCGCACGAATATCGAAAATAATTACGTTGTCAGATCCAAATCTCAGCCTTGACGCAGTCGGGCCAAACGCTCTGAGAGGTCCTGTTCCTCAGCTGGTAATTTTGAGCTCGATGATGCAATAGTGGACGTAACGCCACTGGGGAGGGCAGTATTTAGCTCGATTCCTGCTTCATCTGCTGCCTCCTTCATTAGGGCGTCGACTTCGCCAGCGGGAGTGCTGAGGGTTGTTGTGTTACTCATTGTGCCTTCCATGACCTACACACAAATAAAATTTAAAGGCAAAATAGACCTGTGACTGGACATCAAGGTTTTCAAATTCTCTTTCGAATCTGTCCATTAGCGCAGATACCGCCTCCAGATTCATTGATTTCATCGCGGCACTCATATCCCGCACGACACAACGCATAGACTTTGTCACGGAACTCATAGTCACTGCTGTTTGGACTCTAGCCGCAACACCGTCTACCTTTGAGGACATTCTCAGGTAATTGAGGCTCTCGTTCTTTTTCCGAATTGCGTTTTCTGCATATATTCGGGCACCCTCCTGATTTCCAGCAACGATAGCTTTTTTGAGTTTTTCCTTCGCTTCTTTTTCTTCCTTATCACATTTCTTAGAGAGTGAGACCAACTGCTTTGCGTTGAATTTTAGCTCGATCAGCTGATCTTCAAGTGTCGGCCCGCGGAAAAAACTGAACATTAGAGAGCAGGAATAACCTCAGCTCAGTTAAAAATCCCAATGTCTGATGAGAGTAAACAAATACTATGTAGGACCAACTCCATGAGTTCCAAGTTCCCATGGAGTATAATTATTCTACCGGAAAAGAGCAAATATTGGTAGTTCAAGTGTGGAATGAATATGAAACCTCTGGGTCATAGGTCCTAAACTGTTAAACATTGTTGCCGCTTACATATGTATGTATTTGAAGGGTTGGTGTCAGTGCGTTTGATGATCCTATTTATGTACAGTGCTTGCGTAGACACGCACTCAAATTAAAGTTGCAAACATTTGCAATGTGATTCGGGTCATAGTATAATCTTACTAACCAGGATGCGCATTTGTTAACTGTAAGTCAGTACGGAAATATTGCGCACGACAGTGTTTTATAGAGCTGACTGTGAGAAGTCATATTGTTTCTGTCGAAAATCAAGCAAGCAAGTCTTCTTTTAAACATGCAAATTGTGTCGACCGTCCTGGTCTCGCTTGGTAGAGAGTTCCATCGTCGGACGACCCGCTGGCTGAATGAAAACTTCCTCCGGTGTAGCCTCGGGCGTTCACTCTTGACTTTGTAAGGATCAAAACGTAATTGGCTTGTATGTATGTATGTATATTGAAGGGTTACAGGCAGAGCCCTTGAGGACCCTATTTATGTACAGTGCTTTCGCCGATTCATACTCAAACATAAAATAAAATTGCAGGCATTTAAAATGTGATTGGGTCACAGTTCAATCGTAATCATAAGGTAGTGCATGGGGTCACTGTAAATTAGTGCGGAAGATTGTATATGACAGATTTTACAAAACTGGCTGTGCATAGTCATGCTGTACAAGCCGATTTCTGTCGAAAACTAGACGAGCAAGTTTTCTTCTAAACACACAAACTGTGTCAGCCGTCACCATCTCGCTTGGAAGCGAGTTCCACGGCCTGACAACCCGCTGGCTGAAAGAAAATTTTCGTCGGTCTAAACGTGTTCGCTCATTCCCGACTTTGAATGCATGGCCGCGTAGTTGGTTTGTACGGGCGAACTCAAAGAAGTCCTCTGCCCTTAATGAGCAACCCTGGCCGCTTGTATGGGCAAACTTAAAGAAGTCCTCCATTTTTAATGAGCAACCTTGGCCACGTACAATTCGGAGTATCTAGAGTAGACTGCGATTTAATTGCCCATAAAAGAGAGGGAATAAGCCAAGCATATCCAGCCTCTCCTGACAAGAAAAATGCTTTGGACCGTCGACCAACTTCGTCGCTCAACGTCGCACCTGTTAGAGTAAGTAGGTACCCTTCCTCATCCATGGTGAAACTGCTGGAATTCCATACTCTAGATGGGGTCTTACAAAGACGCTGAAAAGTCTTTCGAAGAGTTCGGGAGGAAATATTTTAAGTGCACGCCTTATCCAATGTAAAGTACTAGTTGTCTTCTGGGCCATCTTTCCATAGTGTTCTGATAAAATAATATTTGCAATCATCCATACACCCAGATCTTTTTGTTTTTCTACAGTTTCTAACGCCGTCCCGTCAATCTAGTACTAGTGTTTGGGAGAGGCATTTCGGCCGGTGTTTAGGCGCAAGACCACGCATTTGGACACGCTAAACTTCAAAAGCCATCTGTTTGATCGAACACTCAGCTTGTCGATGTTCGACTGCAACTTCTTTGCGTCATTATCGAACTTGACTTCGATCCATATTTTTGTCATCCGCGAACATAAGGGCTTCTCAATCCAGTTCACTGATACAGTCATAAACATAAATCAGGAAGAGTAAAGGCCTAAAATAGAACTCCGTGGGACACCGCTTTCCAGCTTTGCCCATTCCGGGGTAGAGTTACAAACGACCACTCTTTGTACACTGGAGGGTAGAAAACTTATGATCCATTTGAACATTCTTCCTTTAATTCCCATATCCCAGATCTTCTGTAAAAGAAGACTGTGTGGGACACTATGAAAGACGTCTTTGAAGTCAAAAATATGACAAAACTGGGTAACCCTTGTCTGCGGTTCTTGACTATTTCTCTTGCGAGTATAGAGCACAAGTTAGGTAGGAGCGTTCTGGACGAAAGCCATGTTAGGTACCATACAATATTTTGTTTTTTTTCCAGGTATTGCATCAAATGATTTCCGAAAATTTGTTCCATTATTTTACACGCGACGCAAGTAAGACTGACGGACGATAATTTCCGCGGTCAAGTCGTGAGCCTCCTTTATCGATCGAAGTGATGAGCGCGCACTTCTATTCCTGCGGGAACTCGTCATCTTTAAATGACTTTTGAAATGTTGCATACAGTGGTCCGCACAGTTCATTGACAAGTTCACGAAGTGCTACTGCAAGAATTCTATCTGGGCCAGGCGATTTGGCAGGTTTCGGTCGAGGTAGTTCGGCCCTAACTATGGTCGATGAAAAGAATGGTTCCTCGATTACGGATGGTATGGAGGATGTTAGAGGGGGGAAGAAGGGTAGAAGGACAGGTTAGAGAGAGAGAGAGAGAGGAATGCGCTTTATTTTGAAATCATATGTTCAAAATTTTCAGCAAAAAGTTGGCTCCATTCACTATGGGCAGTAAATAAGTTAGTAGATTATTCAAGAGTCAAAGTTTAACACAAAGAAACGATTATTATGGGGATAGTTCAAGTCTTAGCTTCTGTATTTCTGTCTCTTCGCACGTAAGATAGCGCGCTAGGAATGGCAAAACAGAAGCTCGATAAGCCTATGTGCGACAGGATATAAGACAGACGTTGCGGCGCATCGGGCGGTAAGACTTGGCAGACATAAGATCGAAATGTAGGGATGGGCAACGTCATCTAGAATTCGACCAGCAAATTGCTTGACCGCATTGAAGTGTCGTTGTAAGATTGTGTCAACTAAAAAAAATATAAGAAACGCCAGCAGCAGAAGAGAGCATGCGGAGGACTCGTTCCAAAATTAAAAGATCTTTTTAAGCAAAGCAGGAAAAACGACGGGAGAACAGTATAGGATAAGTGGAAGAATGCAGGCATCAATGAATCGCCAGACTAAGGGTTGATGTGTGTGGTAGGAACGTAAACGACGAATGTAGTAAAGAAGTTTACGAAATTTAATAAATAGGGACTCAATATGGAGGCAAAAAGAAAGATTTGAGGACAAAGTAACGCCGACATACCTGAAAGAGGATACTTCTTTAGGAAGAATGTCAGAGGAATCAGGATTAGGAGAGGGCCGCAGTCGAAAAATACACTGAACGGATTTTTGGTTGTTAAATAGGAGACCATTTTCCTTCGACCACGCTAGGACATGGTTTAGGCCATCCTTTAGAGACCGGAGGTGTGTCTGACGTTTGAGAGGGTGTCCAACAACCACATCATCAGCATACTTGACCAGAAGACAGTCATTAGGGGATCTTAGATCGTCAGTGTGGAGCGAGAAAATGTGAGGGGATAGAATGGAGCCTTGAAGAACACCGCAGTCGTTGGGAAGGGTCAGATAGATAGATAGATAATTTTTATTAAAGACCCGTCGGGGTCCCATCAAAGCAAGTTAAAATAAATTTGCATGCGACTTTTAGACGAGGTAAGCCGAATCTTTACAAAATGCAATTCATAGTTTCTGAATTAGAAGTCCATTGAGACACATGATGATTGAGGGGTGAAAAAAAACTCCTTACAAAAAGTTAAAAATGATTGGATTGATTTTACAGGAGAAAAAAATCCCCTCCATAAAAATAATAACAGAAAAATGCGAGCAGGACTGGCCTGTAGGTGGTAGTATATAACGGAATGTTGTCGGTCATCGTCAGGGTAACAACAAATGTCAAATGTGGGTCAGACAGGACTGGCTTGCAAATGGCATTGTATACGGGATTCACAGTTGAGATCGTCTGGGCCGGATTGGTACGCCGCGTCAAAGAGGCCAGACGAGAGGAACCGAGATGCGATCGGCCACAGCACGCTTCGAGCTCAGCCGAGCAGTGAGGAAGGGAGGTACGACCGAACTACTAGTAGACAGTGAATACTGAGGGTTCCGCCGTGAGCGTCGACAGACCGCATGAGGTCGGAATGCGGGAGATGACAGCAAAAACCGCGAAAATTGTCGCTATGGAGGAGGGGGGGGGGAGTGGTAGCAGTGGATTTAGAAACCAATTCAAAACAGGGGTTTCTAATGATAAAATTAAGAGTTACCACTTAATCTACCATTAAATCCCAGGAGGACCCTTCTCGAAGTCAAGTATCAGAGTGTTCGGGAATGATACCGTTAACAGTGCCCTTATGCTTTCCGGTGTAAGATGTTTGCGTAATTTCGACTTGAATACCAGTAACTTAGGCGATAATCTAATTTCAAGCGGAAGATTATTCCAAAGGAAGGCATATTTGGAAGCAAAGAAGAGGGAGCGCTTAGATGTAGTACAAAGAGGCGGCGGAATCACCATGCAGGAGTTACGCGTGGCATAAGACCGATCCCTCGGAGTGGGAGTGTCAATGGGCGGAAGACTGGAGTTGATGCGAAAAAGGAAGCAAAGGCCAGCTTCGAGTCTTCTAACCCACGAAAACTTAATGTTCGCCAGCTGACATCTGTGAGTATAAGAAATACTGGACGAAGCTTCAGAGAACAGTTTCTGGGTGAAAACCCTCTGAACATTTTCGATTTTATTGCGGTCGCAGGCGTTCATTAAACCGAAGAAAGGACAGCAATATTCGAGGACTGGAAGAACAAACATTTGATAAAGTCTTAGCTTCATTTCCGGAAGGAAAAAATTATGCGATATGAATCCACATATCTGCGCGGCTTTGGCAGAGATTCTATCCGCATGAGGTGATAAAGCAAGTTTATTCGTATAACTTAGACCTAGGTCCTTTATTGTGAGGCATTCTGAGAGTGGGTTATTCTGAAAAATTATGGAACCAGGAAGTTTGGTAGGACCAAAAGACATGAAACTACACTTGGATGATGAAAACTCCATCTGCCATGTCGAACCCCATCTGCTTAAGCGTAGTAAATCGGCATTAATTTTTTCA